AAAAAAAGATCATTCATAATAATGCAATCTGTTGACGGAAATCAAGCTGCTGCTTATGTATCATATGCACTTAGTGATGTATCATTTATTTTCCCAATTACACCATCATCACCAATGGCAGAAAATGCTGATGTATGGTCATCACAAGGAAGAAAGAATGTTTTTGGACAAGTAGTTGATGTCTATGAAATGGAAAGTGAAGCTGGAGCATCAGGAGCAGTCCATGGAGGATGTGCAGCTGGATCACTTGTATCTACATATACCTGTTCACAAGGACTTATGTTAATGATTCCAAATATGATTAAAATTGCAGGAGAACACCTTCCATGTGTATTCCATGTAACTGCAAGAGCACTTGCAGGACAAGCACTTTCAATTTTCGGAGATCATTCAGATGTTATGGCATGTAGATCAACTGGATTCTGTTTATTATCATCACACAATGTACAACAATGTCATGATCTTGCTATTGTTGCCCATCTTTCAACACTTGAAGCATCTCTTCCATTTATGCATTTCTTCGATGGATTCAGAACATCACATGAAATTCAAAAGATTCACCAATTAACATATGACCAAATTAAGAGTCTTGTTGATATGAAATATGTTGATAGAGCACATAAGAGAGGACTTAATCCAACTCACCCAAGCCAAAGAGGAACATCACAAGGACCAGATGTATTCTTCCAAGCAGTTGAAAAATCAAATGCAGATTATCTTAAAGTACCAGAAATTGTACAAAAATACATGGATAAAGTTGGAGAATTAACAGGAAGACATTATAAGATCTTTGAATATTATGGAGCTGCTGATGCCGAAAGAGTAGTTGTTGTTATGGGAGCAGCTGTACCAGTTCTTGAAGAATGTGTTGATTATCTTATGAAGAGTGGAGAAAAAGTTGGAGTTCTTTCAGTTCATTTGTACAGACCATGGAGTGCTAAACACTTCCTTGAACAACTTCCAAAGACTGTTACTAAGATTTCAGTACTTGATAGAACTAAAGAAGCCGGATCATTTGGAGAACCATTATATCTTGATGTTGCAACTACACTTCTTGATGCAGGTAAACACATTAAATGTGTTGGAGGAAGATATGGACTTGGATCAAAAGAATTCACACCAGCTATGGCTAAAGCTGTCTTTGATAATCTTAAGAATGAAGAACCAAAGAATCACTTTACTGTTGGTATTGAAGATGATGTTACACATATGTCACTTCCAATTGGAGAAAACTTCAACCCAATTCCAGAAGGAACTACCCAATGCATGTTCTGGGGACTTGGATCTGATGGAACTGTTGGAGCTAATCATGATGCTATTAGAATTATTGGACAAAATACTGATATGTATGTACAAGGATACTTCTCATATGATGCCCATAAATCAGGAGGAGTTACAGTATCACATCTTAGATTTGGACAAAAACCAATTAAATCCCAATATCTTATTCAAAATGCTGATTATACAGCATGTCATTTCCCTAATTATGTTAAGAAATATAAATTACTTGATGCAGCTAAACCAAATTCAGTCTTTGTTCTTAATTGCCCATGGACAGGAGCTGAATTAGAAGCACAACTTCCAGGATCACTTAAGAGAGTTATTGCTGAGAAACAAATTAAATTCTATACTATTGATGCTATTAAGATTGGACAAGAAGTTAAACTTGGAAGAAGAATTAACATGATTATGCAAACTGTTTTCTTCAAACTTGCAAATGTTATTCCATTTGAAAAAGCTATTGTTCTTCTTAAAGAAGCAGTCCAAAAGACTTATGGAGCTAAAGGACCAGCTATTGTTAAAATGAATCATGATGCTATTGATAAGGCACTTGATGGACTTGTTGAAGTTAAAGTTCCAGCTGAATGGGCTAATGCACCATTAGAAGCTGTTACTAAGATTGAAGCACCAGAATTTGTTACTGATGTCCTTATGCCACAACTTGCAATGAAAGGAAATGAACTTCCAGTCTCTAAATTTGCAGCTGATGGATTTATGCCAATGGGAACAACCAAATATGAAAAGAGAGGAATTGCTACTAAGATTCCAACCTGGGAAGCATCAAAATGTGTCCAATGTAACATGTGTTCACTTTATTGTCCACATGCTGCTATTAGATGCTTCTATTTAACACCAGAAGAATCAGCTAAAGCACCAGCTGAATTTGTCCAAATTGACGGAAAAGCACAACAAGCCGGATATAAATTCAGAATTCAAGTCTCAGCTATGGATTGTACAGGATGTGAAGTATGTACTACTGCATGCCCAGTTAAATGTTTGAGCATGACACCATTTGAACAAGTTTCAGAAGTTGAATCAAAGAATTGGGAATTTGCTATGACTCTTTCACCAAAGAATTCACTTTCAGATAGATCTAACATTAAGACAACTATGATTCATCAACCATATCTTGAATTCTCAGGAGCATGTGAAGGATGTAATGAAACCGCACTTGTTAAATTAATTACACAATTATATGGAGAAAGAACAATTATTGCTAATGCTACTGGATGTTCATCAATTTGGGGAGCTACATGGGGAACCAACCCATACACTGTTGATGGAGAAGGAAGAGGACCAGCTTGGGGTAACTCATTATTCGAAGATAATGCCGAATATGGATTTGGTATGTTCAAAGCTAATGAACAAAGAAGACTTTATCTTGAACAAATTTGTAAAGAAGCTATTGCTGAAGGAAAATTAAGTAATGAACTCAAGACTCTTCTTGAAGAATGGATTGCTAAGAAAGAAGATGCCAATGAATCAGAAAAGATTTATGCAGCAGTCAAACCATTATTAGCCGCAGAAAAAGATAAATCCGAAGTACTTGGACTTATTGAACAAAATAGTGATATGTTTGTTAAGATTTCTCACTGGATTGTTGGAGGAGATGGATGGGCTTATGATATTGGATACAATGGAGTTGATCATGTTCTTGCATCAGGACATAATGTTAATATTCTTGTTCTTGATACTGAAATGTATTCAAATACTGGAGGACAAAAATCAAAGGCTACCAACCTTGGAGCTGTAGTTAAATTTGCATCCTCAGGATGTAAGAGACCAAAGAAAGATCTTGGAGCTATTGCTATGGCATATGGTGATGTTTATGTAGCATCAATTGCACTTGGAGCTAATCCAGCTCAAGCATTCAAAGCATTCAAGGAAGCTGAATCATACAATGGAGTTTCTCTTATTATTGCTTATTGCCCATGTAAAGAACAAGGAGTCCCATTACAAAAATCAATTGAAGAAGCTAAAATGGCAGTTAACAGTGGATACTGGTCATTGTATAGATATGATCCAAGATTAGTTGAACAAGGAAAACCAGGATTACAACTTGATTGTAGTGAAGTTAAAGGTGATCTCGAAGCCTTCCTTGCACGTGAAAACAGATTTGCACTTCTTGGAAGAAAGGATAAGGAAACTGCTGATAAGCTTCATGCCCAATTGAAAGCCAATATTGATAAGAAACTTGCCCATCTTAAGGTTGTTTCTAAACAAGCTTAAAATAAGTTAATTTCTTCTTTTTCCTATTTTAATTGTTTTTTCATTTCTTTTTATTGAATCTTCTTATTTTATTTACTTTTTTCTTTCTTTCATTTAATGGTTGTTGTTAGATTGGATAGTTATTCATTACTTATTTGTTGTAATTACTTTCATTCTGTTAAAGACATTGTCCATCTTGTTATGGTCAATTCTAAATTCAAAGAAACTTTTTCTAAACTGCACTTCAATCCAGTTCCTCTTGACTTTCATACATTTCCTTTCTTCTCTCATCTCCAGACATTCTGGGTCTATTCTCAAGATAACCCCTGGCTTGATTCAGATCAAATTACAAAATATCATGTTCATTATCAAATTAGTTATTCACAATACTGTGTAATTGTTAAACAACAATCAAAACCAGTCGAATTTAGAAAAGTCTCATATTCTAAAGAGGATTATATCCTCTATGGTATTAACATTCCAACAATTGTTACCAGATTTGATGATTATCTTTTTAGTTCTTCACGAATGAAAACTTTCTGTATTCCAAATCATATTGTTGAAATAGGTAATGAATGTTTTTATAATTGTCATTCACTCTCTTCTATTACTCTTTCTTCAAATCTCACTCGAATTGGAATAGGTGCTTTTGATTCTTGTTCTTGTTTAAAGTCAATTCATTTACCTCAACTTCTTTATTCTATTAACGAAAATACATTCTTTAATTGTTCTTCTTTAACTGAAATAAAATATCCTCCACATTTAAACCAAATTGATGACTATGCTTTTCTTGGTTGTGGCTTCAAACTCCTCTCTTTACCTTCAACAATAGTTAAACTTGGAGTTGGTTGTTATCACAAATGTTCCTTAACATCACTCATCATTCCAGAGTCCATTTCTTCTATGGGGACAAAATGTTTTAATAAAAATGATCAATTACTCAATGTATCTCTTCCTGACTCTATAACAGAATTGGAAGAATCAATGTTTGAATCTTGTGAGAATTTACAGTCAATTCGTGCTTCTTCAAAATTATCAAAAATTGGAAATAAATGTTTCTATAATTGTAAATCACTTCATTTAACTTCCCATTTCTTTGATCATCTGATATACATTGGAGATTGCTGTTGCTTTGGTTGTAAAGACATTTCATTCCTTCATTTGAATTTTACTTGTTTATCTCATCTGGGACAAAATGCTTTCTCAAATACTCCACTCCAGTCTGTTGTTTTACCTTCATCACTATTCTTCCTTTCTTCTTCATTTGCTTTTTGTACTTCTCTAACAAATGTCCATTTACCATCTTCAATCAAAAATTTATCAGGATCTTTTAATGGCTGTCTTAGTCTCAAAGAAGTCATTCTTCCTCAAAGCATCACTTCTCTTGGAGAAGAGACATTTAAAAATTGTTCGCAACTTAAATCACTTCGACTACCATCTTCATTGATACAACTCCCAAATTATTGTTTCTATGGTTGTGAAAGTCTCATTAATATTGAAATACCATCCACAATAACAAGATTTGGACTATACTGCTTCAAAGACTGTAAACATCTTACTCAAATACAAATACCAAAAAATTTACTTTGTATTGGTGCTCATTGTTTTGAAAATTGCATTTTCTTGGAGAATGTCTTGTTTTATAACTCATTGGAAAGACTAGAAGATTGTTGTTTCTTGTTTTGCTTAGGACTAGAAGAAATTCATCTTCCAACTTCACTAACATATATTGGGCAGGATTCATTTGCAAATTGTGTCCAATTAAAGAAAGTTACTGGAAGAACTGATCTGTGCTTTGCTAATCAACATTCTTTTTTTAACACACCATATTCCTCACAACTTAATCTCTAATCATAAAATATTTCTTTCACAATTTGTTATGTTTTTTTT